AGGTGAGTTCAGCGGATTGTTCCAAATCATGTGGATCCTCATATGGACATTGAATAACTGATTTCTGCTTTAACGTGTCTGCCATCAGGGCTGTCGTTTAAACTGACATTAAAGCTCAGTCAACGGCGCCTTTTCTTTTTCCCTCTCATCTAAATGAGCTGTCGCCATGGAGATTTAGCGCCAAAATTCCCGTAACACGCCCAACATTACAATAACTCTCCATTTACAGGCGCCCTGTGTGTTTTCATATCAGAGACTGGCATCAACAAAAATCTGTAAACATATGCAATATGTAAACGAAAAACGAATCTGCAGGAATTAGTCGGTTTCTTTGAGTCACTCGAGCAGAAATGAATTGATTTAAAGGCTGATTTATGTTTTGTATCTTTGCTCTGAGCAGCTTTCAGCCTCTGAAGACAAACTTTGAGCTTCATTTTCCTCAAAAATCAGACCTCATCAAACCCATATCCAGCTGGAGACCTTCCTGTTACTGCTTCCGGGTTATCTGATTGGCTGCAGGAGAAAGGGTCGCTCAGTTTCGGCCCCTGGTGTCCGGGATGGACAATGACTCAGTTTTGCAGTTACTGTCTGCTACTGAGTGGTCATGGTTTTGATTTGTTTTAATTTTAATCGAACTGTCAACATATTTGATCATAACTGAATCTGTTTGGTGAGAAACCTTTAAATAATGTAATGAACAGATATTTTAGAACAGCCTAGGTGGTTCTAGAAGGAAATTAAATAATTAAGTTTTATTAAATAATGCTAAATAATTGCATTACAGATATGATATTTACATACAGTGTTTTATTAAGTGTTGTAGTAGAAATCTCAGTGTTAAAAAATGATAAAACATAATGTTATTTTTGTTGTTGTTCAATTAAAAATAGCAAGTTACCACAAATTGTTTGACTCACATTCACACCTATGGGCAATTTAGATTATTCAATTAACCTATCCCCACAAACCTGCATGTCTTTTGACGGACACCCAGAGTACCCAGAGGGAACCCACGCAAACACAGGGAGAACATGCAAACTCCACACAGAAAGACCCCAGGCCTTATGGTGGAATTGAACTCAGGACCTTCTTGCTGTGCTAACCACTGTGCCACCGTGCTGCCCTATTTATTTATGTATCATTTACCAGTAAAACAGTTTTCATAGTTTTTACTGCAGCTTTTGCAAAAATGCATGATAGTGAACATTTTCAGTGATGTTGTATACTATAATCTGATTGCTTCATCATCCCACAATGTGCCTGAACAGACTGATAGTTACTTTTAAAGTATTGTGAAAATATGAGATCAAAGCAAAGCTGCCGAAAATTTTATTAGATTATGAAATTCTGTGTTTTCACAGATGAAAATGCTTCAGTCTTGTTAGAGAACACTTAGCAATACTAACATGCTAACAGTGAAAATTATGTTTAAAAGGTATAATGTTTACAACATCTTTTCTTATTGGTTATTTTCTCAAAGAATCAAAAATATCACTTGATCTGACTTGACAATTGTACACTTGGAACTTCTCGGGTGCTTCACTCCTGAACCGCACAGTTCGTTGTGACTCAAGTCCAACTCTCTAAGACTTGGACAAGGAGCTGAGAGCTGAGGACAGAGCTTCACAGCTTCTCTCTGAGAGTCTACAATTTCTCAGCCGGAAGAATTAATAAGAAAAAAAATAAGACAACACTGGTTTTAACATGTAATCATGGTACAGGAAGAAGTAGATTCTGCAATATTTAATCTTGTTTTGGTGATGGTTAAAAAATTCCCTTCCCAAAATTAGTTAAGAAATTTGACAGTTTAAAGTAACGTAGATAGAAGTAAAACATAAAGCATAAATTAACCTGTATTTAGTAGCTACAATTCTTATTTTTTAAATTTCTGAAGGAATAAACAAATGTATATGTTGATCTGACCTGAAAGTTTCCAGTCTACAGTATGAACTCTTGAGTCCTGTAGACAGTTACTTCACTCCTGAATCCTGCGAGGTGTTCTTACTAGAGAACTGGGAGCTGAGCGCTAAAGAAAGCACTTCACAGCTTCTCTCTGAAAGATTGCAGCTCCTCAACCTGTAAAGTAAAATAGTTAGAAAAGAGAAAAATATTTTGTTAGAACTTCTGAGTTTGTGCGTTTTTTAACTCTTTGCCCTTATCACAATAAATCCCTTAGCTTCCGATAATTTACTAATTAAATAAAGAAATATAAATACTCCAAGAAAAAAAGTTCAAATAAAATGACTAGATTTTTTTTACACAACATAGGTAATGGGAAAGAAAATGAGTGGTGACAGTGTCACAGGGTACTGATTTAAGCAAGTTTACCATTAAAAAGATAAAAACAAAGCAAATGAAACACACACACACACACATTCATTAGCCTAATACTGATAGATAAATTTAAGCAGATGACCCTACTTAATTACATTTACAAATATTGAGTATGAAAAGCTAAAGTGCCAAGAGTGCAAGTAGAGTTGTTGAGCTGTTTGGGGCAACCCAAAACAGCCACCACAGTCTTATTCTCATTTACACATATAAAGTTTTTAGATCACTTAAGTAGTGGTTAAAATGACCCTTTGTCATTTTCTTTGACTAGAATATAGTGTTGAATGTCATCGGCAAAGCAGTGATAACAAAAAAATGATACCTTTCAAAAATATGTCCCAAGGGAAACATATATAAATGGGGCTTATAAACTGAATAGATTCCTGATGCTTTTATCTCTTCACATTTGGATTATTGTTATGAAGTGTTTTCTGGTTTGATTGAAGCATCTATTAAATGCCTTTTTCAATCTGCCCTAAATGCTGATCAAAGGTTTACAATTCACTCTTTTTTATTAATCACACATTACCCCGCTTTTAAAGCTTTTGCACCGGCTACCTTTTAGGTTTAGATTTCAATTTAAAATATGGATTCTTACTTTTATGGCCATATGGGTTGAGGCACCCACTTACTGAATGGCTCCGAGCTTACACCCTAGTTCCTGCATTTACCCATCTAAATAATAAGGGCGATTGACCAAATTTTCAAACTTTAGTTTCAAAAACATGGAATAGCTTTGTGTTCATTTTATTTGACGTATGTGTCTCCCTTTTGTTTTGGGGGCATTGCTTTGGTTTTATTGATACTACTGTAAAGCACTTTGTCTGTTTTGTGTTCTTATGAAGCACTAAAACCCCACAATTTACTTACTAAAGTAAATGTAATGTCTATTTGGCCAACAGATCTCAAATCCAACAGTGTGATCTAACCTGAGCATTTCCAGTTTACAGTGAGGACTCTTAAGTCCCAGAGACAGCAGCTTCACTGACAAAATGCAGCAACATGTTCTGAATAAAAAAAAATCAGAATATCAGTTAATTCTTTATAAAGTTTACATGACAATTTCTTTCCCCTAAAGAAAGTCTGGTTGAATACATGTTGATTCTTTTAAGACATTATTAAATTCTCCATTCATCCAGTCGCTGTAATCTTTATAGAAATCTGCTTACTGCTCTGCAGTTGATCGCCCAGCTCCTCCTGCTTCATTCTCCTCAAGAAGTACAATGCGATTGTCACGAATGACTCTGTGCACCTCCTCTGCTCCTCATCCTTAATCTTCAGCACCTCCTCATCCTTCCTCTGTCTCTTTGAGCATTTTGGATAATCTGGACTCAGAACCTTCTGGATCTTCCGCTCATTCTTTACAAAAGTGATGATGTTGTCCTCCAGCAGCTGGAACAGAATACTTTATGAATGACTCAGTCAGACTGAAGACTCACACCTCAACCCCACCCAACCAACGCCATCATCAAGTATGCCAATGACACCAATGTGGTTGGGCTTACCTCTGATGGAGATGAGAGTGCATACAGGGTGGAGGTAGAGAACTTGTGCTCAGAAAATAACCTGAAGCTTAACGTCCTTAAAACAAAAGAACTCATCATTGACTTCAGGAGGCACAGACAGGTTCACTCCCCTCTCAATGGAGAATGGGCAGAATCTGTCTCCACCTTCAGGTCTCTGGGCATCCACATATTTGCTGATCTCAACTGGACCCACAAAGGCCCTAGTAAAGAGGGCCCAGGAGCGGCTGCACTTCCTCCATGTCCTGAGGAAGAATAACCTGGACCAGAATTTGCTGCTGGCCTTCTACCACTCCTCACTGGAGAGTGTGCTCTCCTCTAGCCTGATGTTTGGTACTCAGGGGCTATGAGTAAGAACAGGAAGGCTGCACTGAGGGTCACTGCCCCAAAAATAATTGGCTGCCAACTATCAACCCCGGAGGCCATCGCCAGATCCTCCTGTCTCAGGTAAACCAGGGCCATCACAGGTGACACCTCACACCTTGCCCACCACCTGTTTGACCTGCTTCCCTCTGGTCAGCAACTCAGGTGAATCAGGTCCCACATCTCCAGACTTACTAACACTCTTGGAGTAGGAGCAGTGACAGTTTCAAAGAGTTGAAATACAGGTTGACTAAATTTGTGAGAGAGGCTAAACAGTTG